ATGGAAAAAAGGCTTTGTAAAAAGTCAGATTTTTTTTTTTTATATTAGGGGATTTACAGAACAATACCGCAGGATTACCCAATTTGCTGTCAGACCTTAATAAACTTGGGGTTTTATTCTCTTGTATTTAAAGCCATTTAAATCCTCCCCGAAAAAAAATCTGCACAATCCGCAAGAAACTCAAAAGCTGCTGACAGCTCTATGGTAGAAAATGAGCAGAAGGCACTTTTCATCAAAAATATAAAGGGTATGTGTTCCATGTTATCTTTAAAATGGTATTTAAAAAGGCAATTTCAGCACACTGCTGCAGAACTAAAATAAAACCAGCAGATTGAAATTAACCAAAGATTAGCTAAGGAAATAAATTTACATTTGTTCCATTCTCAACAAAGGAACATGGTTGGGAATTAAAAGTGGCCTGGACTAAAGAAAGTCAAACTCTTACAGAATAAGTACAGGTAAAGGCAGAATGATCCAAGATGATCATCTGCAGGTGCTCACATAAACTGGCAGTACAGGAGCAAAGACTTAACTAAGCAAGTGTGAAGGAGATTGGTGACACGTGATTTGTGTCCTTGCTTGAACGTGCGTGGAAGGAAGAAAGGCAGGGCAGGAGTCAGAGGTGTTACCACAAGACCTGGCACCATCATCATCCCTGTTCCAGTGACTAAGACTACAGAGGCTTGAGCGAAAAACTGGCTGGACATGAAGAAACTGATTTTGGATTACGTCCAGCTGCATATTTTATCTGCTTTGGTTTTAAAGTTTTAATTTCAGCAAGTGTGAATGAGATTGGTGACACGTGATTTGTGTCCTGCTTGAACGTGAGTGGAAGGAAGAAAGGCAGGGCAGGAGTCAGAGGTGTTACCACAAGACCTGGCACCATCATCATCCCTGTTCCAGTGACTAAGACTACAGAGGCTTGAGCGAAAAACTGGCTGGACATGAAGAAACTGATTTTGGATTACGTCCAGCTGCATATTTTATCTGCTTTGGTTTTAAAGTTTTAATAGAGTCAGATGTGAAACAAATGTTTTTTTCATAAATTATTTTAACATTAACATTGTTACGGTCATATAGAAGCTTTAATTTCCAGTAAAACTTTCTGGTTTAGAACTGATTCACTGTAAGATTTACTTCTACAACTACTGTCACCTTTAGCAAGTCCATTTAGAAAATATTACTTAGAACCTCTTTTCCTTTTTTTTTTGGCTACTGATACTGTATGATATACATGCAGCCTGATTTTCCAAGTGACTTCCATACCTCTACAGACACCAGACTCAAAACTGATGATAGGAAACACTTTTACAAATAAAATGTCATCCTTCTCTCCCACTCACTGTTGAACATGCACAATCCATTATGCCACAGTATTTAATATTCCTGTCTAAATGAAAATGCTGATGCTTTAAGTCTGGACAGGAAAAATTCAATTAAAGAAATATGTTTATAGTGTATTGGCAAAAATAATTCAGATTTGCCCTTCCAACAAAAAGACCCCACTCAGTATTTTTTATATTATTCAAGGGATACTTGCCAGAAGGTGACATTTCTGCAGATGCTCTTCAGAACTGCATTGGAGTTTATGTAATTATACACACAGCAGGATTTTGGATGCTGAAGCACAAGTGAGTATAAATTTGTAAAAACATCATAGTATTTTATGACTCGTTAGGCAGCTTGGACTGTCTGATTATCCACTAAAACATCACAGTACAACTACTGAAGGTTAAAACCATTTCAGACACTGTGAAGAACCAGAACTTGCCTCCACGTGGAAACTGCAGTGCAAGGGGTCACTCGAGTCCCTCTTTTACACTGATGTTTCATTTTGCTACAAAATTACTTCACCAGCACTATTTTGTAGGCTTGAGACTGCAATGGACACTACACCATAGCTCTGCTCCAAAACATTACTGGTAAAAAAAAAATATAATTTTCTTTATCATAGAACAGCTTGGGTTGGAATAAGCCTTAAACATCATTTAGTTCCAACTCTCCTGTCACAGGAAGGGACATCTTCCACTAGACCAGGTCACTCAAAGACCCATCCAACCAGCCTTGAAAATACTCGCAGGGAAGGGCACCCAGAACTTCTCTGGGCAACCCATTCCTGTCCATCACCATCCTTACAGTGAAAAATTTCTTCCTTACATCTCATGTAGACCTCTTCAACTTTAAAGTCATTACCCTTTGTCCTAAAAAAAGGTTCACCATTTCTTGTTTAGTTACACTATTCCTACTTACTACCTTAACTGAAGCCTCCAATTTATTGTATCGCTTGAATCAGCAAAATGAAATTTAGATTAAACGTGTTAAGAATTGAGGCACTAACAGGAAGACAAAAGACACAAGTATGTACTGTCACTTTCCTTACCTCCTGCAGTACCACTAAACCAAAAGAGTCAGAGTATTGCTATTACAACATGAAGACTGAGGTTGTGCTTCCACAGTCTGCACTTGTCCTTATGCTCCAGGGTACCACCATCTCACTTCTGCCAACACCTATTTGTGGAGCCAGTAAATTGCATATGCAGGATCACCTAGACTCAAATTAGTTTCCTTAAACCCCTTCCAGGGTTCACTTCTAGGGCTTCCTGGCTTACTGAACTGACAGTAAAGAACAACATGCTGTGCTAGCACAGGGGTGACATCCATATCCTGCTGCAGGAGACTGAGGGGCTGACAAGGCCTTCAACTTCATTACTGCCAAACCCCTGTTACTGTGGATGTCTAGCTTTATTTCTTAGCAGTACAAAAACTATCTGGAGAAGTTGAAAGCACTTCAGTATCAGGCACTTTGTCAGAAGGTAATCCTAACTTTATAACCAAATACTTGACCATAGCTGTTTCTCTCCCTGACAGGTATTAGTTTCCAACTGTAGAAGTCCAAAGTACAATCCGCTGATTCTTCCATACTTAAGAAATCTGTGTAATCTGAAAGCTTCTCTAGTTCAAATGCAAGGGGGGAATAAGAATGGAGAAATATTTGAGAATATCTGATTCTCAAAATTTTAGTAGCAATTTCCAAGGATGAAGAAAACAAGGACAACTAATTTTTTTCCAATTTCTGAATTGCTGCCTAAAACCTAACCACCTTAGCTCCCTTTTATCCAACATGTAACTAAAATTTCATTGAAATTTTCAGAGTAGACATATTTAAACAGCTTTTTTAAAAGTTTATTCTAATTTTAATCCCTGAGTTTGTCAGCCATGGAAAACACTTCAGCATCTTTATTTTTTAAATTCTGTTCATCTTTTGTTTCTTTTTACTGGTTTTTGGACCGACAAATATTACAGGAGAGCATGTATTTTGTATCTTATTGCTCCTCCTAAGAATGCTCTTAATAAACCTACTTAACACTCCCGCTGAAGCCAGCATAATGTAACTCTTCCTCAAATAGTGTATAAACTGCAAGTTATTGTCCCATTACAGTGTGCCTTTATATCTCAGCAATATCTATCTTTATACCTTGCTATCTAAAAAGTTTGTATTGATGCCATCAAGAACACATGGGTTAAAACTCTTAACTTGGACTTCTTTTCTTGTGCTTTATTAGAGCTGAAGAATAGAACTGCATCTGTTTTAAATGATGTCATTCTGTGGTCCACATATGCACATATGATCAAGTCATCATATGGCCTGTATAGTGCATTTGGAATAATTTGGGATTATTTTTGCTGATACAACATTTCTGTTGTCTTCTTGTTAGAAACAAAACCACAGGATGTTTCTCGATCTGAGTTCACAAAAATATTCCTTGATCTTGTGCATGCAACCACCTGCTCCCATCTTAACAACTCTTCTGCCATTCCTAGCAGCAAACACGAGCAGCCAGGAGTATGGACTTCTCTCCCATTTCCCCAGTACACATACACTTGCGGGTAAAAAGATTAGGAAGAAGGAACTGTGTGTGGCCGATGAAGGAGAAGTGTTCACAGACAGGCTGGAGCATTATACTCACCTGGGGAATGAATGGCTGGGCTGTTCCTGTCTTGGAGAAGATACCTACCTTAACCTGTCTGTAGGTGGTGAAGATGCTTGAGGCAAGAAAGCGCCCGGGGCAGTCAGTGCCCCTCTCTGTGGGATGCCCGCTCCTGCCTCTTGCTTAGTGTGAGGAATACTTACCCATCAGGGATAGTATTCTTCTTTACCATGCTGAAAGCAGGAGCAGGCAGAGCAGGAGGCAGCGGTGAAAGTGGGCACTGCAGCAAAGGAGAGAGAACCGCGCGGTTAACACGGTGCTAATCTCTTTCTCCATCAGTGGGCCTTTGCATAGGGCTGAGTCTCAAATAAAACAAATCAAGCAGCCAGCTGGGGCTTGAAGCCGTCCTGAACAAGTTCTGCACCTTGCAAACTAGCCTATTTCTCCACTGCTACAGCACGACAAGAGGGAAAGACAACTCACCTCTCCTCTCCAGGTGATCACAAGAGAGAGGAGAGGCGGCAGGTTTCTCTGTAACTCTGGCAGCAGCGCTGCAGGCACGAAGATCTTCCTGGCAGTCCCTCCTGTCCCACTCCTGCGGCTCGCAGCCGTCTATTCCGCCCTTGCGCTGCCCGTTAGAACCCGTCTCAACGAGAAGCACCTCCAGGGAGCTGCAAGAGGCCAGGCCGGCACCTCAGCAACGGAAGGACCATCACCTGCTCCCCCCTAACCTGGACCGGTCCGAGCCCGCTGGACGCCGGGCGCCCGCCGACCTTGGGGGCCCCGGGCTGGGGGGGGCGAGGGGAGCGGCCCCCATGGCCCCGCTGCACGGACGACGCCGATGAGGCTGCCCCTCACAGCCGCATGTCCCCGGGGCAGGACCGGCTGCGGGGCCGGCCCAGGGCTCCACAGCGGCTGAGCTCGGGGCAGGGACAAACGAGAGACCGGGGCGGGGAGAGGTCGCGGCCCGGCTGCGGGGGGCGGGCAGGCGGCTGTGGAGGGAGGCGGGCGGGCTGTGAGGGGAAGGGCGCGGGCTGCAGACGGTGACGGGGAAGAGCCCGTGCGGCGGCGGGGCGGGGCAGAGAGGAGCGGGGCTGCGGGCGGCCCGTACCCGGACAGGATTTCCCTGGCGGAGGAAGGAAAGGCTGGTGCGACACAGAACCTTCCCGAAAGGGCCGCGACTGCGCCTGCGCGGCGGCGGCGGGGCGGGGCGGGGAGGGGCGCGGAGCGCTGGGAGCGCGGCCAATGGGGCGAGGGGCGGCGGCCGCTCCGCGCGGGCGCGGACGGGGCGGGGCGGAGCGGAGGCGCAGCGGGGCCGGGCCGGGCCGGGCCGGGCCAGGCAGGGCCAGGCTGAGCCCCGGGAGCGCCTCAACCTCGGCAGTGCTGGTGCGAGGTTGTTGTTTGGCTGGGTGTGTGGGAATAGACCAGCTCCAGTAGTCGAGGATGTGCAAGTGGTGTCGATTTAGAAACCAGCTAATCATCTGTCGTGCTTCAGCCGACTTATTTTTGTTTGAAAAGTTGTTGGAATTTGTTATTGCAATGTACTCCTGCACGCCGCTCTGAGTTGGTGTCAGTGGGAGGCAGCCGGGATGGTTGTCAGTACTAGAAGCACGTTCTGAAAACTTAAACTATGATTTACAGTGAAACGGCTGTTGCAATGTTGGTCGTCAGAATTTGTTTGTTAATTCGTTTTCATTTCTGCTCGATACGGTACCCTTTAATACGGCTCGTGGAGCAAGTACATTAAATATTCTAAGCTTTTTTTTTTTTCTTTTCCCTACTGTGTTTTTCTTTGCTCTGTGGTATCGTTTTTCCTCAAAGACTTCCTTCAGTCTTCAGTAAGTGCTTTGGGGAAGCAGTTTTGAGGTGCCTCAGTCATGGAACAAATCCCCTTTCCATACACTGCTTGTGATGCATTCCGTATTGGATGAGTCCTCTTGGTGCTCAGTACAAACTGATAGATCACACCTCTTCATTTTTGTATATTTCTTTTAGTATTTTTTTAAGTTCTTGTATACTTATCAGAACTTATATTTTTAATTGAATCATTCATTGAAGTTCATTTTAATCTGAGTCTTTGGGATGTCAGTAGAAACTGAAAAGGGCAAGAGAACATTTTGTTAATAACAATGCTCCTGTAGATCAGGAATAGCTCTTGGTTTTGAATGTGTGGGTTTGAGTTGCCATAGCTGAGAGCGGAGTCCTTTTTGAAAAATGAAAACTTCCATCAAGTGATTTGGCTTGGACTTTTTACAAATAAATATATTTGCATTTCTGAGGGATGCTTGTAGACAGTTTGATTGTATTGATAGATTGAAGGAAGACGAAGTAATCATGGCTGAGCCGTAACGGTAAACCAAAGATCTTGGAAAGGTGATCTTGACAAAAAGTTGAAAGAGCCCTCTGAACAACATCGGTGTTCTCCGTTCAGCAGTACAGTGTGACACTCCCCAACACTTCTCATCCAGTAAGGGTTAAACATTGTGGTAGGTTCTTTACAGCATTTCACCGAAGCCTTCGCTCTGCTCTGATTTTTGAGAGAACGCAGCCAGAAGCAATGTAGATGAAATAAAGCCATTATTTTAATTTCCTTGGTGAGGGCTCAGCCCGCCGCCGCCAGGGGGCGCGGCGGGCTGGGCGCGGCCCCCGTGAGGGAGCGGGCCCCGTGAGGGAGCGGGCACCGCCGCGTCGCCCTCACACGGCCCGGCCCTCCAGCCTCTTAAAACCCGCACTGAATCCTCGCCTGTGGGAGCGGCACAGCCGCTGGGCAAGTGCTTAGTGTGTGGGGAAAAAAAATATATGGGGTTATGCTCCCCTGGAAGCTTGTCCTCATTTGTTTTCCATAGCTTGCTGGAGACACTGAGGTGTCGACAAATAGGATGGCTTGTAAATCAGAACCTGCAGGAAGGTAGTGCAATAAAAATGCTTATTTACATATTTCCTGCTATTGTGCAGCAAAACTTAACAAGTCAGTTAGGAATATGTTAATTTTATTTTTATGTGCTTATATTGAGTAGTCCCATTGAACTTGGTGGCATTTCCCATGGTTCAAGGTAGAGGCTTCTGAATTTAGTTTTCTCATTCTCTCAGCAGCAGCAATAACTGCAGATGATGTGTTAGGTCTTATTGCTGAGCAGGGATGCTCCCAAACCTCTGGGAATCCTTTCACTGCCCTAAATGAGGAACTCCTGCTGCTGTCTTGGCCTTCCCCATCACCTCAGCCTCAACTTTGCCCCTACCTGAGCAACGTTGGTATAGCAGTATGCAAAATACAGGCTACCTAATGTTGAAAGAGTACTTAAAGGAAATATCATTTACTTGTTATGCAGATGCATTGTATTGTCTTTATTGGAGATTGAATAATGCCTAGACAGACCTGTAATCTGACCCATTACTTTTTTCTTTTTTTTTCAGCTTCTCTGCTGTTTACGCTGTGTCATAAGACAAATGGCACTGCTGTTAACTGGAAAATCTGGTCTAGCACCCCCAGCTTCTCTGCCGTTTACGCTGTGTCATAAGACAAATGGCACTGCTGTTAACTGGAAAATCTGGTCTAGCATACATGATGTGCATTTAGAGTGATAGTTCTGTACCTTGATCTACACTTAATGGTACTCTGGATGGAGCATCTGGTAGAACAAGTCTTCCTTAGGACATGTAAGTATTTATTTTACTGAGATCAGTGAGGAAACTTGTATATGTATTCAGGTATATTATTAAACATATTATGAGAAGAAAGTAAGTATACAAATGATTGCTCACTTGTATTGTGTTAGTAGTTGGAGGAAGTTTGTGAACTTACTAAGAGAACGTGATATCCTGGTCCTGCTGGAGCTGCCTGTGACCCCATTTAAGTTTCTCTAAGTGTATATTCACAAACAACCTCTCTCCACGATCCCCCTGCTCTTGGAGCAAGTCCAGGATGACAGTGCCTGCTACAGCAACTGTGCTTTTTCACCAAGGTCAGGTTGTTAGGTACATCTGCCTGCCAGGTTCCTACCTGAAAGCTGGGACCAGTACTAAATTCAGTCTTCTGCAATTTCCAATTGACTTTCTTCCCCTCAGTTCAGACATTCTTCATTCATCTTCTGGTGATTTGTTTTTGTTTCATGACTAAATCTCTTCCTTTTGTTTCTTACAATCCTGTGGATTGTAAACCACATGCTGGAACAGAAATAAACTGGAAATTCCACAAGTATTTTATAAAAATATTTTAAAATTATAAACATGTCTTCAGCACATCACTGTCTTCCTTAGTTTTTAAAGTGCTATCTGCTATCAGATATTCATCAGATACTTTGCATTTGTGTACCAAATTGATCTTAATCCTAAAATACAGTTATCTAATTTACAGCACTCTGAATATCTCTGCTTTGCATGGTCCTGATGTAATGAGGTTCAGAGAAATGCTATTGCTTGTAGGAGGGTTGACATCAAGCCTCAAGATCTGATAATATAAGAGATTTTATCAATGACTGAATGACAGAATATGATTATTCACCTAATATAAATCTTTCTTTAAAAATCACTTAAATTACATACTTAGCTGATAAATTTCATTAAATATATTTTAAGACTCCTAATCAGATAATAATTGGGAAGAATTCTCATGTATAGTATCAGTAATCATACATTAAACGTATGAAAATTTGGGTAGAAATTAGACCTTAATGTAACTGTCACCAGATGGATAAATTTTTATCACACAGAATCACTGTTTGTGAAATCAGTAGTAAGTCTGAATCATACAATCACAGAGTCATAGAATAGTTTGGGTTTGAAGGGACCTTAAAGATCATGTGGTTCCAAAGCCCCTGCATGGACAGGGACACCTTCCACTAGATCATGTTATTCAGAGCCCTGTCAAACCTGGCCTTGAACACTTCCAGGATGGGGAATCCACAGCTCATTATTTTTAATAATCTGAAATTTGAGTATTTTTCTTCCTGCTTATCTGAAAATTATCTAAAATAATTACTGAAAAAAATCTGCTGCTGGAAGGAGGCACTCATACCACTTATCTGAAAATGATCTAAAATAATTACTGGGGAAAAAAAATCTGCTGCTGGAAGGAGGCACTCATACATAATGGTGCAGATCTCTTCATTACTCAGTTATGAAAATTTGCATTTGTAGCCATTAAAAAGTCATTGTTACTTAAAAAATGGGGGTTATGTCTACAAAGTATAACTTGTTCTTCATAGTCACTTTGAAAATAATTTAGATGTTTAATGACTAATGCCTGAATAAAAGGCATTAATGCTTTTATAGGTACATCTTTTTGCTCTTTTGTACTAAAATGGCTGTGTGATACTTCATTAACTGATGAAGTTTACTGGGAGAGCCACAGGGAAGGTGGTGAGGTGCTCAGGTGGTTTTAAAATTACACCAGTCAAAGTGTGCCAGTTTGCTTTTTTTTTTTCCCCAGTTTGTAAAATGATTTGAAGTGAAGGCAGCATGCTTTGTACTACTAGTGCCCAAGTCCCTGACTGCACCCTTTCTGTAGTAAGTTCTGTTACAGCTACAGTAAGTGACAGCTCAAAAAAACCAGATGGAGTCTGGGCTGGGTTCTGAACACCATGTCCTTATCCTGAAAGGAGACACCAAGGAATATGATATTTCCTCACCAAAAAGAGTCCTCTTTTAACTCTGATCTGACAGGCTGTCAATATTGACCTCTAGCTGTTTTGTCAAGTATTTGTTTGTGGAGCATGTTTTCTGAAGGTTTTAGAGAATTCATTTTTTCTCCTCCATTAACTCTAAATTCAAGAAAGCATCCTCTTTCAGGGAAACACAACTCATCAGCAGTTCAGATGTTAGAATGCAGGTGAGTTGCTATGGCTCTGAGGCAGCAAAGTGTATATTTTGTTTGAAAGCCATGTAGTTTCTGTGGTCCGTTAAAACCAAGTGGGAGTTTCACTTTATTTGGAGGGGCAGAGAGGGTGACTTTTGAAATATATTAAACATACATATTAAACATCTGTATCCACACACAATCTTATTTAATGGGGTTTTTTTCTATTTTGCCAGCAAATTTTGATTTAGATGTATCTTTCTTTCTAGATGAAGAAACTACATGCTCTGATGCCAGACAAACTCCTGCATGCTTTACCATGGGCACCTGATGAGGGAAGTGCTTTCCTGTTGCTCCTGTTTCACAGCTGATAAATTCTGCTTGATGCAGGTGGTAATGAGTTGTATATTTTTAAGTTTTATCAGCGTTCTCATCTGTTGGAATTTCATGTTCAGATCTGTGGGAACTGTTTGTAAGTTGGTTTAGGGTTTCTTAGTGCTTCCTAGTTGATTTTTTAAAATAGCTATAATATTAAACTAGATAACCTGATTAATCTGTCAGAATTTGAAATGTGTTCTAAAAGTTATAAGACATTTCTGTTGCCATTTGTTCCTTTAAATGTTCTGCAATTAATGATAGATGGCTTTATTTTAATGTGCCAAGAAATACCAATGCAGAAATAGCTACTGGAATTTGATTGCTCAGTCACCCACAAATTTATCAAATAGGCTAAAGCAGTTGAGTTTGATCCCAAATACCCTAAGTCTTCATGTATGAGGGTATTCATATATGATGGGACTGATTATGGTAATGTTTAGCAGATTTTGATAGTCCATCTTCACATGTTTTTTAGAAGGAAATACATGTTGTCCATACTATATTAGGGTATTACAGGGTAATTGTAAATACTTTTAATATTTTTCATGCAAATTCTTTGGCTCCAAGATTACAAATAACAGGGACCAAGTTAAGGCTCTTTATGTTTTTTAAAAGTCTAACAGATAAAAGCAAAGCATGGGAACAAACTGAAGTAGTTATCACAGTTATTTAAAACCCCAGAGCAGAACTGTTGCCTGAGATTAGGTCTCATACCAGAATAGCCAAACAGAGGAAGCTGTATCTTCTGCTGCAGTTGCAGAGAGGTCACTCGTGTGCCTGGGATAAAGGTCCTGTCCTCTCCAGGACACCCAGCTGTCCTGTGAGCCCTCGGTAGCTCTGGGATGTTCTGAACACAGTGGGTTTGTTGCGTGAGCTCAGATTGACCCTGGAGAGCTCAGGCCTCAGTTCTGCTGTGCGAGGGCTGTGCTGGATTGATGTGTGTCCTGTGCAGCTCACCTGCTTGTGCTCCACGTGTCTGATGCACCTCGTGACTAACAGGTTATTATCAGTAATAGCTGATTTTAAAAAGTTATTTGGAAATTGAGGCAATTTGTAAAACCCTTCAGTCTTGCCCTTACATTCTTTCACAGTATGCAGGATCCAGGGAACAAACCATTCCAAAATATTTTTGAACAGCTGCAAGAAGAATTTAACTTTGTTACTGAAAAAGATATTAAAAAGTGTAAATGCTTCCAGCTGTTGCAGTAGTAAAAGTTCTGTTTATAGGGAGATAAAACATACAGTATTTCAGGAATTTGGTGTTTGAGATACAGTTTTTGTTTTAAACTTGTACCTGATAAGTTGTGTTACATTTAATCTCTGATTTTTTTATATTTTGTGAATCAATATTTCCTGTTCTTTTATATGTTTATGTAGCAGAGAATTTTGTTCATTATCAATCTAAATGCCAAGTTAGATCTATCTATACTTTCAACACATTTGGATTTACTGTAATTAGAATCATATTAGATATATTAGCTAACAGTACAAATTAAAAATCCAGTAAGAATTTTATTATAGCTTGCAAAATTTTACTTACAGGTGTTAGATACATATTGAGATGCTATGGTCCTCTGAACAAAATTCACAATTTTTCTCTCAAATGTTTGCAAAGTGAAGCTCTGGGTAAAAACTTTTAAATGTAGTTAAAACCCAACATTTTAATTTGATACTTCATCTAGCATGCTGATTTTTGTAGACTGCAGTCCTTCACATTCTTGATATATGGGATTGTATATTCTATGAAACTTTGTGAACCCTCACACTGAGCTGCCACAATTTATCATGAGATGGAGCTCTGAGGCAGAGCAAGAGTCAGCAAAGGCAGTGGCACTACAGCACTATGGGCATTATCCCTTTCTAATATTTCTAGTTTGGGAAAAATTCTGCCTTCTCTACAGTGTGAACTCTTCAGCTACATTTACAAATTTCCAAAAGAACCTGACATCCTGTGAAATACTTTTGCAGTTGAAATGCTGGAAATTTTTTTTCAAAAAGCTGACTGGTATGAACTTCTGTCTTTTCCTTCATTCAAAGTCTTATAGCTCCTCCTTCAATTAGTTGTTTCAAAAATTGGATATCATGAGGAAATATCTATCACACCCTTACAAGAGTTGTCCTAATACTTAGATATCACAATGCTTTATTTCTGTCACGTACTCCAGTTTAAATTTATCACGAATCAGCTTCCTGGACTCTTCTGTGGTGTGCCCATATCTGCTAGTTCAGGATCCCATACGAGATATGTTCTTCTTGTGCAGAGCTGATAGGCTGTTGGTGGCATTCTGTGTTTAAATTAAATTGACTTTCTTCACTCTGTCTCTAGAATGCAAGTTTTCTTGTAAATGTTTCTTGCAACTCTTTCTGAAGCTTTCCCATTCATTGAACTAATAAATTAGGGATTTTTTTGTTATAAATATTTTCATAGTGCTCAGTCTTTATGGCAGGATTAGCTATGAAATTAAGGTGTTTTTAACTCGTTTCATGCAAAGGATGGGTATATTCTGGGAGTTACTAGTTTTTGAGGTCCATTTTTATAGAGATTTTTTATAGTTTCCTGCCAATGTTTACGCTTTTCTTGATAGTTGCAGATGAGGCAGAAAAAACAGGGTGGGTTCCCATACAGAGAACATAAATGGAAATAAAAACTGTGATGATTGATACAAACAACTGACACATAGACTGATAGTTTGAGGTATCTACTACCTCAATTCTCAAACCCTTTGTAGCATGGCGACCTTGAAAAAGATCCCTTCCTGACTAATTATGCAGTTGTTATATTTATAGGTATTATAAAATTATTTTACATCTTTCTTGTAAACAGGTGTGTCCACATGAGTGCTGTCAGTAGCAGCCATACTGGGCAGGGCTGTTCATCACATGCTTATTTGAATAGGTGTAAATTAAAAAATTCTAGTAATTCCAAAGAAATTTATAGTTGCATGAGCAGATGGCAGAAACAGCGGAGTTACCTATTCATTTATAGAACATCTTCTGAATAAACTGCCAGGTAAAAAGGGAGTTGGAAGGCATCAGTAGGTGGCAGAAAAATACTGGTATTGTAGCTTTACCTGTGTAACCAGAAGCTGACATCTCTGCCTTTATAATATTTTAAAGTTCTAATTTTTCTCTGTGCTGAGCTCCAGATCCCTTTACAAGACTTCTGTTTCCATGTTTTCAGTTATGACAACCTAGTGCTGTATTACTGTTCTTCAAATAGTTCAAATCTGTCATCAGAGAGAACTTTCCAGATGCTTTGATGTGAAGCAGACAGCTTGTCTTTCCATGAGCAGGGAAGTTTGAGGGGTGGTGAAATGAGAAAGTGTTCACAGCTGGGAACACTGGAACTGATACTGAAATTGCTCTAGGATACTGCAACTATATAGTATATATACTATATGGAATAGTTACTTTGCTCTTCTGTGGTTTTGATTTTTTTTTTCAAACTGATATTTTCAATATCAGTTTGAAAAGGTGAACTCTGAGCTTAGGACTCTTGAGTCTTTGATCTGCACAGCATCATATTTTATCCAGCAGTGCTTACTTCAAAGTACAATAATATATGAAAATCATGTCTGACTTGTGTGGGCTTTGGAAATTATATGACTGCATCAACTCTATGCTCCATCTTAAGCTAAGAAAACTGGCTAGATCCAAGCTAGCATATGAGCAACCAGTTCTGGTATCTATACCAGCAGCACTGTTGTTTCTTGTTCAATCTGCCAACAAATAGTTTTAGCTTTGTGTTCAGTTATATCATCTTTGCTTTTGATAGGATGTGTTTCACATTGGCCACTCATATGAGAAAGAACTGGCTTGGATCAGTTATCACTCTGTTCTCAGCTCCTCTGGAGCAATTAAAGTCATGCAAAATGAAATATAAAATATTTCTGTGGTATTTGCAAAACTCTGTAGGAGCTTTTGTTGTTACAAAAGTAAGGTGATAAGGTTTTCAGAGTGATGACATTCTGCAGAGTCCAGTAGTACATATTCTAACAACAGCTCCAGTGTATTATCATTTGTGAGAGCTCTTGGTGTCTCTGTGTGTCTTGGAGCTGATATGAAGACAGCTCCCTGCTTTTGTTGCATGACTCCAAAAAAGGCTTTTCTCAAAACCTTTTTAAGAAGCACTTCTTTGTCCGATTTGTGACTACAGTGAAAGGTGCTGGCATATTTCCCTCAGGGTGAGGAGAGCATGGAGGCCTCAAGGAGGAACTGAAATTAAGTTTGTCTGAGCAACACAAGGAGTTCCAAGAAGAATAGAAAGTTCAGTCACAATATTTGGATTCTAGTCTATTCAAGCTCCAGACTCTGTGTTCAGCCATAGCTGATGACTATCTTGAGCATATACACCGTAGAAAGTTGGAAGAAAAAATTGACTTAAGGGGTATTTAGAATATGGCTATGTGCAATAAAATGTTTGAATAGGCTGTTTCAGAGTCCTTTTATTGAAACAAATTTTAAATAACTTTTAACTTTTTCAACTTGAATGGGGTCATGAAAAGTGAATAGCAGAATACTAGATGTCTTAACATGGTAGAATAGAACTATGGAATCATGTAGGTTGGAGAAGACTGCCAAGTCCATTTAATTTTACAAGTTCCTTAGATTGTCAGTGTTTTAAGTGCGTTATTCCAAGGTATGTATTCGACTCTGAGACTAGAAGAGGGTTTCCCATGATAATTTTCAGGACATAGCCTCCTGGGAAAAGTCCACTACTGTTCTTCATGTCAAGTGTTGGTGTCCTTTTACAGAACTTAGCAAGTAGAATCCTTTGAGGAAGATATGAATAATTAATTGTAGTGGATTTCATGTGACTATACCACAGGTTTTACTTGGATGCACCTTGAAATAGACATTTATTTCCTAATGCCTTGGAGCACATAATATTTACCTACATAATTTTCTTCTGTAGTCAGGCTTTGAAGTTACAAATCAAAGTAATTTGTCTGTTCTAGTTCATAGGATACTAAAAGAAATAGTTCTTCAAAGAACATGTATTTCTAAAAGAAATGTAAAGCACAATTTCCAAATGGAATAAATAATAACTTGTGGTTTGACAAAGGAGGAAAAAGAGTTTTACCAATGAACTGTATTAAAAGTGCTGAATGTGCCACAAGAGCTATTGAATGTTGTTTCAACTTAAATAAGTTATTTTAGCATCCAGTAAAAAAAGCAGAATTTGTGAATTTCACAGATTCACCAAACATTCTGAATTGGAAGGAACCCACAAGGATCATCATGTCCCACTCATTGACTGACAATTTAATACAGTAATTGACAACTTGCTAGTAGTGGCTGTGGAAGCTGAACCAGTAAAATGTAATTTTTATCACAATTCCTAAAGGTGTTTTTAAAAGAGTATGTGCTTTTGGGAATGTCTGTTTTAGAACTAAGTCTTTAATTCAATAAATGTTTGCACATCTTTATTTCTGTGCCCAGGAAAGCATACAGCACATGCAGTGCTCAGCAGAGCTGAATATACACATCTAATATACCACAAAATTCTATTGAAAAGTAACTGTGTCAAGTCTAGGAAAGTGCTCTGCTTTCTGCATTTAATTAGATTCACTGAGTGGAAGGTGCAAGAAATCCCATCATAGACCCTATTGACTAATTTGCATTGAGAGATATTTCTTCCCCACATCCATTAGTATTTGGCTTAAATCCTGAATGATTTCATTAGCTATGTAAGGGCTTAATCTCTTGAAAATCCTGCTAAGCTCTTGCCCTCATTGAAAGCTGTGATAATTTGTTCTAGTTAATTTTTATTTAAATATATAGCCTTTCAGTTCTTTTTTTTTTTTTAATAATGGCAAGATGAAGAAGAACACAATTTTTTTCTTTATTTTATTATTTTTCATCCCTCTGCTGTTGGGCCTTAGAATCTTCTTTTGAACAATGCCACTTTTTTCAATCTGTCAATGCAGTCACTGCAATTGTGAGGTAAAATTAAATACTTATGGAAGTTGATGTTTTTAATCCTGTTTTTTCAACACAGAGTAATATTTCAGACAGCTGTGATTTTGGCTGTAATTATTCTTTTGACATTTGAAAGACTTACATTTATTCAGAGTTGTCCTGCACCTTTTTTCCAAAGGAAAGAGAACAACTTGCAAAAGGTTGTAGAAGCAAGTGCTGCTTTAAATCTGTTTTATATTACTGCAAATATGTAAGGAAGCTAAATAGTGTTTTTACTTTTTTTGCTAATGGAAATACACGCAATTTCTGTTATCCATTTTGTGTTGATACAGGAGGGAAAATTGCACTTGTACTAACTCTGGAAAAATTCTTTTGGAATCTCTTAATGGGGCTGTATTGCAGGGGGATATGTTATGAGCAGTTTGATACTTTTTCATCCTCTCCAGAATGCTGACTGCATTGTGAATAGGGAGAATTTAAGAATGTGGCGATAGTATGGTTTCCTGTTAAAAAAAAAAAACCCAAGGCCTGTACTAACATCAAATGTAAACAGGAATATATAAACAGGGATGGCTTATGGAAACAAACAAAACAGGCAGTTTTTTCCACGAGAAAGTGGCAATGGAAGTGCTTCCAAACTAGTTTTGTGTTGTCACAGTCTGGTTATTGAGGAAGTGGAAATGTTCTTGATGGTCTCTTGTAGGTGTAGTGCTGCATGCTTGCTACCTTTTTACCAACTAGTTCTCTCAAGTTTTAGGATACTTTACAATTCCCAAAAGAGTCTTACAGCCACCTCTGTGTTGTGGGAGGATCCCTTTAGAGCACATAACCTAAATCCAGGTATAGATGTCTGAAGGGAACTTTCCTACTAGTCAGAGAACGCGTTGCCCAGTAGGGCCTTATCCAATTTTCCCATTTGCCATTCAGCTGGTTTTGGGTGCGTGGCCACACGCCTCTCCTTCATCTGTCAGTGCAGATAGTCTTCAAGGTGTTTAATCTCTGCTAAAAGGGAATGGAATATCCAAGTCCTTGGAGATTGTCCTTACTGCACCACAGCAAACAGGAGCTAAGATAAGATATGAACACTGAGATGGGATGCAAGGTCAGGAGCATAGAGCTGCTCTCCAAAATACAGGCACTTTGCCTGGAAACTCAGGCTCTGTGCTATTTCTGAAGAATTTCTCCACCTTTGGGGATCTGCAGCAGTGCTGTCTGGAGTGTCATCCACCCTCCTGCAAAATCTGCCCATCCAAGCACACAGAAGCACTTAGCAAAGCCTTGCTGCTGTTTGTGTTCTTAAAATAAGTAAATAGAGAACTAAGTAACATAGTTGAAAGTGGTTGGAGAGGGTAAAGTAGAACACCATTTGGCAAAATCTTTTATGACACCATGTTAACAACAGGCAGATTGACAATCTGTCCTCTTCTGCATGGAGTCTCATTAATAAATCTGTAGGTCAAACTGAAGGGAGGGCAAGTGTTAAAATACCCAGTCTGGTGAGCTTGAGTATTGAAACATCCATAGTGTAACTGTGCATACAATAATTTTCAGTTACTTCTATTGAATTTTATGTTTTAATTTTCTAAAAGTTTCTAAGCAATGCTTTGCATATATCCTTTGTTTTCTTCAATATGATAAAGATATGTAGATACCTGAAGGTGCATAGAAAAAGGTGTTTAAGGAGAAACTAATTATGTATTTACAGATTGTTTGGTTTGGGGTTTTTCTTTTCAATGTTCAGTAGTAAATGCTTTCCTTTGTCAGAATGCATGCCTTGTTTATTGAAGTTATAGCAATTTCTTACATTACATTTAATTTCAGGAAAGAGCAAACAGTCTAATGTAAGTTTCACAATTGTACTTCTAAAATATCACTGAGATAGAGACTAAAAATAACAGTGTGAATTTTGTTATTGCTGCTTTACTTGGTGTTTTGAAAAACTGCTGTTGACAACCTTTTAATACAGGATGACCAACTGGGCACTTGCACTCACTCAGATAAGGCCTTATCTATTCACAAGACTTTTGTTTCTGTGAACATTCTGAATGCAGAGTTAATAAATTATTGCAGGAATATGCTACATTACTTTCTGGCTTATATATAGATTTAACCACAGTATTACAGTTGGAAAAAGTTTTTATTTCTGGTGATGTGTCAGTCACTAAAATGTTGACTTTAAAATTCATATTTTAAACTAAATTTGCAATGCTGGAAGACCATAAATATCTTCATGTTTAAAGTAAATAATGAACCTGGGTCATGGGAAGCAGAGATAAGGCTTTTCTTGTTATGTACAAACACAAAAATAGCTTCAGACTTGCAATTTCAAATCTGAAGCTGAGACTTCTACTGAAACGTTGAAAAGTATTTGGCAGTCCCCTGTAGTTGGTAGGAGATTCAGAAATGTCATGGCTAGTTCCTATTTTTTAATTACAGTGAAAAAAACCCCAAAAACTTGAGATTCCAAGGCCACAGTCTAGACAGACTTGACTTTTGCTGCCTTAAGAGTGAGGACAAACTTTCCAGATCAAAGTATCCATGTAATATGCATGCTGTCATTGTATTGGAGCATTGCCCTTGTTCCTTACAGGGATGGAGTACAGCTTGCTCTCCCTCTGGCCCTAGGTCCCCCAAAAAGGTTTTCACTATCAGTGATACCTAAATGGATAGGTGAAAGCAAAGAGGCCTCACAATTTCATTTTTTTAACTACAGACAAATTAAATTTTAAGCAAGCTTATTAATTTCTGTGACTTAAGCCATAATCACAGCCTTGCTACAAATACACAATGTGCAGTGTTAGGAAAAAACAGAACTTCTTCTGGTAAGCAGCAGTTATCAGAAGTTCAAAACAATCAAAAATATCTGTGCTAGGACACATCATGTGATTCTCCAGTGCCTGCAGCATGACTGAGCCTTCACAGCTATTGTAAATAACACAAGTGCTTGTGGCTCTAGACAAGAGGCTATTCCCATGTCTCCTAAATGATTTCTAGCATTAGAAATCTGAGATTGCCAGCATTAATGGTTGCTTTTTTGTATGAGAACAAAATGAATTCCACCCGCTGGCTCTTGAACTACTCGAGTTCTTTTGTTCTTTATTTCTTTGTTACAGCTGTGTACTGGACTCATTGTTGAAGTGTACAATATTTAGCATATGCTGTGGCTGCAATTAGTTTTAAAGCTCCTTCCTGCACCATTTCCTTCCTACTTTTTTTTTTCAATTGTGAAGTCCAAGTGCTCCTGAAGCTTATGATATGTCACAGAAAACAAGGGGGGAGGAAGGGAAAGAAGTCCTTACAGCTTCAGCCAGCTACACAAGGAAAGACAGTTTACATATTAAAAAAAAATAAAAATAAAAAGCATAATACACACTGGAGCCTTCTTACTCAAAACTAGTTTTATTTTAAAAAATAAGTTGAATGCATAGCACTCACAAAGATTCCATTGTTTTGGACATTTTGCATTTAGAAGCACCATTCTTATTTATGCCATAAAAACCACATTTTGGTTCTAATAGTAAGAACAGTGTATTTTTAATGTGCACTGATAAAGCCCTTTTAAATAATATAGATTGAAACTGTTCAGTGTACATTTTCTCTGTAGTCATGATGCAGCTGTAGTGTCAGGAAAAAAAAAACTCAGACTAAGTAATAAATTAAAAACAAACAGTATGTAGTGGATCTTTTTACAATTGACCTAATGTCTTAAAATAGTCAAATAAAAAATACCCTATTAAATGTAAAGCTGTGGTATTAACTAACTGAAAAAGCCCCCCACCCATTATAATTCCAGTGTTAAGTATTAGTTAAATTTTTATATATCAAATGCCTATGGGATAAATTTACTAATACCCCCAAAAAAGAAGAGCCTATACTGCTGTGTCACAAAAAAAAGATGACAAGTTAGCTGACTTGAAGATTTTACAGAAAAAAAATTGCTACAGGCATCTGCTGTTATTTCAAGTCATGGTCTATTACAAGACTGTACATTCATAGCATCAGAGGTAGTTAGA